TCGAGAAGCGTCAAAAAATATTCAAGAAAACTTTAATCACTAAATTGTATTGCTATTTATGAACTAAAACAAACTTCATAAGCATACATACGTATCTTATTTCTACTACAAAATATATATTTATACATTTAAATAGCTAATATCATGTCCAGCAGTTCAAAGGTGAATCATCTCTTCTATCTTCTTGATTCTCGCGCTGAATCATAATTCCAAAGCCCTCGCTGACGTGCCCGGCACTTAGCTCCGCTGATTCTGGTACATCGGTCAAATGAGTACTTTCTCATAGCTTATATGTAGTGACAATCTCCAATAATTTGCTTACATGAATTTTTTCGGATTTAAACTTTTCAACAAAAATAATTCTAGATTCAACGAACAAAAATAATAAATAATCAAGCATATAGATTGAAGTTCAAAGGTTAATCTTCAAAATAAATAGCATTATTTTTGCAACTACAATACATTTCAAATGTGCTAAAGAATTTATCTTGCAAAAGTTTCATGTCGTAAAAATGCAAGCAAAATAATATTCTACCAGCTAAAAAACTTTTGCGACTTTGTTTTTTTTTTTCAAAAATTTTTTCAACAGTATAGTATATTTTAAGACTGTAGTTGTAAATTTGAATATAAAATAAGACGCTACGCTTTTAAGACTAGAAGAAAAAGAAACTGCATACAAAAAATAAAGTAATGAAAAAGCAAAATATGTGAATAAATTGAAAACAACAACTGTACATAACAAGATTATCTCGAGAAACGGTTTTCTGTATTAATGGGTCTTACGAAAAAAAACTTACTTATACTACAGGAAGCTTAAGAATGCAGGTGTTTTTTTATCCGCTCTTAATTAAATAAATAAAATACCAAACCCTACCAAACTGCCGTGAATATACATATTACTCTATAATAATTTTATAGCATTTGCTAGCTTTCATCCATCCATCAAAGACCGTTTTTCGAATTTTTCAACAACTAATAATGTAATAAGTAAGATAAAAGAAGAGGAGAAATAGCGCGAACTACTAAATAGCGTGAGTATTAAGATCATACGTGAAGCTTGAAGACAGTAGTGACTTAAATTTAAATCATGTTTATTCGTCTTTACTTCTGGGAATCTCTAATTTTTCCTTCATGGTACTTTTGACGAAGACGAGCTCGGGCTTGCTCTGCTCGTCTGTTCTTACCTCTCCCCCATAATCCAGGCTTACTTTTTGCTTCTGTAGCTGACTGATTCGAGGTGTTATTAGTTGATCTTATTATAGCAAAACTTGTCGATTCTGTCTGAAACTTCTTACCAAAGTATTTACTTGCTGAGCAAATTTAATAACTAGCAGTAGTTCAAATGAAAGAGACGAAATGCAATTAACAGTTAGACATCAGTAATGTAAGCTAACTGAGACTATGTAGCATCAAAAATGCAAGCTGTAACTTTTACTTTTGATACAAATATAATCACAACTTACAGAATTAGCGTTAGTAGATTTAGAAGTAGCATCAGGATTGAGTATTCTGGTTTTTACAACAAGTTCTACAGATTCAGTATAATTTTTTTTTTTTTTACTTTTCTTCTTTCGAGAAGAGTAACCTGTAGAAGTTGATGGTTCATCAGGATTCAACTCCTCTTCCTCTACTTTGGTATCCCATTCATCTGCAGTAACAGTGTCCTTCAAGTTTGATTCTATCTGCTTTCTTAAATTTGTACTGTCGACTTTATATGATGGAGCATGTTTTGTTTGGTTTTTGGATGAAATATTGTCAGAAACTGTGGATGATTGTTCATCTACCGATTTAGTACTACGAAAGCCTTTACTCGTTGAAGGCTGATCACACAAAGACATCTCATCACAAATCTGATCTGATGTGTTTTCTGATTTCAATTGTGAAGTGCGTTTCTTTTTCTGTTGCTTCTTTTCTTCTGCTATATCTTCTACTATTGCAGATATTACACTTATCTGGTCGAGACGACTACATACCTGAAACAAACAATGACATTTCAAAAAATAATTACTATCATTTTTTTTAAATTTCTACTAAGCCTTCTTGAATTGTTATTTGCCACTGAATACAATAATCTGAAACAAATGTTTTTTAAAATTGGTGTATAATAATTTAATTATTTTCTGAAAGCAAATAATTAGACTTAATCCAAATTTATTGTAAAGTAGTAGATTCGCTGATTTTTTTCAATTATGCAATATTTCCTTCTTATAATGAAAAAGTGGCATTTCTTTGAGACTTACTGAAATGTAAGCGCGATTTTTTAATGGAAGAATCAATTTACAGTTATTATACAAGTAAATAATTGATACAATAATTGAGATAACTTCTAAAAATATAGCTTTAGAGGTTATTCCAAATAATTAGTGCATAATCAAGTTAACTCACATCACGTCAACAATTATATCCCTTATGAAAAAAAAAACCTTGAATAACTAAATTATCTTATTTTGATTCAAAAATTCAGGCAATTAACCTTTGACATCAAATTGTGCATCTTTTCAGTAGCACTTTCTGTCGTCTTTTCATTCTTGCTTTTTTTGCGAGGTAGCATCGAATAAAGCTTGAAATTCAGGAAATAATTTAGAGATTCAGAAACTTTATTTAATTAGACCAGTTTTTGATTGTTATTGATGTAAATCAAATACCAAAAATGCTGAAAATTCATAAATGATTATTTATGATTATTTTAACAATTCTGATATAAAATACTTATAACATTTCAAAAATAATAGGAGCAAGTTTGATACTGTACTGAATATGTCGAAAATGGCAAATTAGTTCTAAATGCGAGAAAAGTTCGCTCCGGGCGGGAATAATTCCTTTGTTTTGCCATAGAACCCGCGAATAAATTACCTACAAAGTAAGTAATAATTACTTGTTATTGATTATTTGCTTCTAAACATGATGAATTACTCAATACAACTGTAAAAAAATTCAAAACATTTCTTCATTTCTTTGGGATTCTTGCATACAATCTCAATACTTGGTTCAATTTTGGAAGCAAATTGAATTTTAAAATATAAATTGAACTCTTAACATCAGAAACTTCATCGCTCAATGGAATCATTTACTCTGTTATCTCGCGTTGGTTACGTAATTATGCAGCTAATAGCGCAAGACTGTGACTAATTAATATACGCTCAAGACCGTGACTAATTAATGTACGTGTAAGACTGTAACTAATTTATATACTACAGATTTAGTTGTTCTGTAGAGTCATGCATTTTAAAATTACACAAAATGAGAACTACAAATTTGTCAAGACTTTATTCCACAAAAAAATCACAACATCTATGTAATAATTGAAATATCATCAGAGATGAAAGATCTGCAAATTCATTACTGAATGTCTGTTTCTCCAAGCAGAACAAAGTTACAAAAGTAAAAGTAATGCCTTACACTCACATTTTCTTTTTTTAATACTAAAATTGCCTAAAAAGCATCTAAAATAGACAATGCTCATAATTATTTTGTATAAAAGTGAAACAATAAATGCCTGAAAATGTAACAAATGATCTATTTTTTCCTGTATTTTTTTCGTTGCTTCAAACGATTATTTTCAGCAGCACAAATAGAGCATTCATAGTCGGTAATACTGCCACTATCGCTACTATTATCACAATTTTCATCGTTATTATTTCTTGTATTTTGCGCTTCATCAATACATGGTGCAGTACTATCTGAATTGACTGAATATGATTTACCGAGTAATTTTTCCTTTCGATATTTCAGCAATTTTAAAGCACATCTCAATCTTGCTGTACCTAACTTCTTTACTACTTCATCTGGTACATGTTGAATTTGCTGAATCTTAAAACCAGGTTTTGGATTGGTTTTCTTATCAGTACCGTCTTTTCTCGCTTGATTATCATTTTGGTTCACTCTGGAATATGATTTTTTTTCACTACTATTGTTATCAGTAGCAGTAACGATTGCAATTCGATTCCTTGAAGCATTCTGCACTCGCTTTAGCAATTCTTCAGGATTAAATTTCAATTTTTTAGCCTGTAAACTTTGATATTTTCAGCAATCGTAAGGTAAACTTTCTCTAGTAATAAATATAAAATTTAAAGTCATTAAAGCGGTAAAGAAATATTGAGAATATGATTTTTCATTTCTACTTGGCGCGTTATTTGCAATTTTGCCATTTAACTTTGTCGTAATTTTCTGGAATTGTATCAGAATTATTATTAACCCATAAATGATCCGCCCCGTGAATTATTTTTCTATTTTTATTTACAATACAATTATTAAACTATCAATTGTAATCAGTTTTAATACTATGAAAAATAGTCTCAATACTTTACCGCTCTTCACTTAATTATTTTTAAATACTTAATGTCCTTGAAAAGAAATATTTTTTGGTGCTAATCTTGTAATTGATATAAAAACGACTAGTAGTTAAAACGTGAACTCAGAATACCTCAATTAATCGAAAATCCAAATATTTTCTGCGCTTCACTGAAGAGTAATTCATCTTTATTTTCAATTACGTTTGAATAATATCATTTTATGCTTGAAAAGAATAGCAAATGCAGTAAATTTTATCCTGCTTTCTACTTAAGATTAATAATCTTTAATTAAACGTACATTTTATGGTTTTGTTTTAAAGCGTAAACAGAAATACTTACGTAGCGCTCGTAAAGTAATTTCAGCAAATTTGTACGAGCGAAACTTGTAAGTTCAAGAACAAACGTATCATCGAAATCTTTATTTATAAATGTACCATTTTTCTTAGACTGAAAGAAAAATTATTTAAAACATTCAACAAAAAAAATTTTCAATTTATACCACTTCCTGTAAGTTCTTGTATGAGAATAAGCAAAAATAATCTATTTATCAAACTATTCTGAAAATTTTGCCAAGATTTTTTAAAAGTTACTTACAATTAACAAATTATTGACCAATATCTCCACAACTGCTTCACGTATTTCACTCTCATCAATCTTCATCTCCAATAAGGCATCAGCTGAAAACAAAATATATAGTATACTACTTTATAATCACAGCTAAGATCGAATTGTTCTGAATACTATTGTGATGATCAATTTTTCTAAAAAAGCGATTTCTATTTTACAGCTGCAAAAAGACTAATGACAGATTTATATCACTAATAATACGCTGATTTTTTATGACTGATTCAAAATCTTTAAAAAAATAATGCTATGTTTATTAGTGTTTTTAGTAAGAGACTATGAAGTTTTTCCTTCTAATTTTTGCAGTTTCTGATTCAGCAATACATAATTAACGAGACTAAAAAAAATTAATAAAAACATACAGTAATGCTTGATCACTTCAGTTGCAATGTATTGAAAAGATACGTAAGTCTTCAACATCTCATATAACTGTATCATTGTTCTTGATACCTCATTCGTAAATTCGTTGAGGAATTGCGCAGGAGATAGGCTTAATTTACTAATAACTGGTATAGCATGAATTTGTAGGCGAAGATCAGTCCTCTGAAAATACAAAACTGGCAAAGAAATATTACAAAAGAATGAAAGGTCAAATAATGTAATTAAATAATCCTTCTATATAAACATCATTTTAAAGTTAAACGCAAAACAAATACAATAATCGTTAACTAAAAATACATCTTGAAAATTTTGCAGTAAAAAAGTCTTACTATCATAGACAGATTATAAGGTCAAATTATGAAGTAATAAGTTGTCAATTTTGGTTCTGTACAAGTCAAAGAATGTAATAGAAAAATCAAGATTTATCTCCCTATAGAAAGTAAATAACTACAAGTAACTAACATATTTTATACATTCGAATACAATAATTTTTGTAAAAATATTTCGAGAATATGCAAATTACCATACTTATTGATAACTTACCGAATGGCTAGATATAATATCATAAATATTGGTAATTATCATTTTCTTTTTTTCAAAATTCTTGGGCATTGTAATTAGTTCTGAAACGAAAGATTACTGTAATTTCATTACTTTTTGCACTGTTACAAGAAAATATTACAAAATTATGTGATAAGTAAAGATGAGACAAATATTTTTACAAAAGTAATAAAAGTAATTACTCTGTGGCTATAACAAGCAAAAATAGCTAAAATAAATAAAATACTAAGAATAGGCTAAGATTTGCATAAAGAATAGGGTAAGAATAAAATATGAATAGATATTGAGCAAATTTGTGATCGCATCGCACATTTCGCAATAATGGCGAAACAAATTCGATAGTCGCAAGCGTTTTAGACTGAAACAAAGAAAGCAAAACTTTTTACTAGTGCTTGTATAAATTAGCTAGATATCATCATACTTACTACAATAATCCTCATAAACTACCCAGTAATAATCTAACTTCACGTATGATCTAGACCGGATATAAATCACTTTGAGAAAATTTGTGATCGTATCGTACAATCTCGAATATATAAATAAATGACTTCAGCAAGAAAGGAAGGAACAGTAACACTTTGCCTAAATGAGACTGAAGTAGCTCTTCATTGATTGCCTACGCTTATTGTGTGCTGTTGATATGACCTCTCACTCACTGTGTCATTATTGTTTTTTTCTCTTGACCTCTCTGCGATTTGTATAAAATCTTATCGTAAATTAATTCTGCACTAACACATATCCAAATTTTGCTTTATTCCTTTATCTATTCTTTTTTTCTTTGATTTTTATAAAAATTTTTCAACTTTTTTTTTGGCGCTTTTTGTTGATTTGAATTTTTCTTTCTTTTGTAGTGTGTATTCTGATGATCAGAATGTACTGAACAAAAATTGCATATTATGTTTTTGTACAAGCAAATTTTAGGTATTACTTGACTTGACAAGAATGTCTACTATTTATTATTATTTATTGTTGTTTGTTAATCCAATTATAATAAGTGTATAGTGTATAGCAATTATTGATATTATTCATAACTGTTTTATCATGATTCTTACTATTTGAAGTAATGTTACTTAAGTAATGCTATCGTAATTCTTACTATTTTTGTTTGTAGTGTATTATGTTAGCAATTGTTACACCTATTATGATCATATTTATTATAGTTACTGCTATGGTAGTAGTAAGTATAAGATAATTATTACTGACCTCATTATTATCATTATTGTTATTATTGTCATGATTATCACGATCATTACTTTAGTCATGGAACAAAAGCAATTTTATTCGATTCTTTTCCAGACTAAAAACACAGTACAGTAAATAAGTTGATGGCATTCTTAAATTATTATATCATGAAAATTTTCATTGAAGTATGGTTGAAGTTTCAGATTTTTAGATTCAGACAGGTGGAAACAAATATTATTTGGAAAATATTAAAACAAACGAGTAAGATTTTGCTTCTAAAATAAAGAATATATTCGTTATGCTAAATATGCAAGAATAATCATCTTGTTCGCTAGTCTTATCAAATTAGAATAATCACATTATACCAATGCAGAAGTTGTAACAAAAATATGCAAAAAAACAGTTTCACCTTTTGATCATTTTATAACAATAATAGAATCAAATTACTGTACCTAGCCAAGTACAGACAACATTTGCAAGATTAGCCTTGGCTGAGGATATGGCTAAGCAGAACAAATCACTGAGTACGAACTCATAATCAGACTTTCATTAGTAGAATATTAATGTTTTGTGAGATGAATTAAAGTTCTGTGAAGCTTTGAAGTACCTCCAGGTATTTTACGTTGGCTATATCTTCAAGACTTAATGGTTCCAATTTTTCATAAATCCTCTCAAGCAGATCAAAAACTCTTAGCAAATCGACAAAGGTCAGTATCAGATTCTCAACTGCCTTTTGCAGGTCAGGCCTTGTCGGATACATGTCTTTCAATGACTCTATAGCAGAACTTCCAAGCTTTTCTTCAGCTTTCCTCTCTGATTCTGTCGTGCTTGTGCTTGCATCAACTTCCATCACATTTTGAACCTTTTCAATCACACTTGTAACAATGGAAGCTCCGTGGGGCTTCGCGTTTTCCATGAATTTATCTAATTCTTCTCTTAACTCTTCCAAATTACTGCCCACACCTTCTGATTCTATGAACATCTAAAATTACCTTTATTAATTGCTTTTGTAAAAAACAGTCTTAGAATCAAAAATAAGTCAAATTTTATCAAATTTGGAAGAAAATAACTTTTTCAGATACTTTTTACCCAATTTTGATTACTCAACTGCTTGCAGATACATTTTTCTTCAAAAATCAATCGAAGGAATCTGAATAAATGCAATCAAAAATTTGCTATGAAAAAGAAATAGCTTAGGAAACTACATCAGATATTCGCAGCATACTGATGAAAATAATTTATAGACCTTTACAAAGTAATTTCAATAAACCTTTCATTTTTAAAACTGAATTTAGTGTTTTCTTGATAACTAATTCAAAAATTTAAAATTAATCAGATAAACTGCAATGCAAAATGATTACTATAAAAAGAATACAAAGTTGAGAAAGTATTATTTTTAAATAATTTATTCTAGATTTATTAATACTTAAGTGAACCTTAAGTGGTATTGACAACTTCTGCAAACTTTCATATCGAAATATTGCGTTGATAGCATCTGTTGCTTCATCTAGCGCGATTAATTCTGCAGCTACTTCAGTGCAAAGTTGCTTCATGCCTTCTGATTTTGTCCAGTCCATACCATGCGCAGCATAAGTTTTCTTGGCTATTTCCCATTCAGTTATTACCTTAAATAAATCTAATACAAAACTAAAACTGATACATTAATTATTAATTGTAAAAAGAAAAATAGTGATGTATTGTTTAAAATCCTCGAAAATAATATATTTTTATACAATTACTGTATCAAAATTTGCATAATTTACCTGGCATTTTTCAAATAGTATTATTCGTGATAAGGTCTCCATACTAGGTATCGAGCATAATAATTGTAAAGCTATAGCAGCTGCTGCTAAAAAATACATCACACTTTGTAACAAGCTATCTTTAATTAAGCAAAGTATTCTAAGTGATACTGAGATCACTAAAATCTTTTTTATCATGCAATTGTATGTAGAAGTGAGTGTCGTAAGTCATAATTTTACATTTCACTACATAAAATCTTAATTCTGTGATCTTCAGAAGTGTTCAACCTTGTGATCTTCAGAATTGTTCAATTTTTTGATCCTCAGAATTGTTTAATTTCATGATTAAATTGAAGCTATTGCATATTTCTATTCAAATACAATATTATTAAATGCACAGATTGCCTGATAACTTTTTAGATCAAAAACTGAATGATTTGATTACAATTAACTGATCAAATGTAACTCAAAAAAATTATTGTTTTTCAAAAAAAAAGAAAAATTTATTTTGCATTTATTTTTGAATAAACTTGGCTTCTATTATTTCTACATCATGTCAAAAAAGTAACAACGATCACAATGTTAAAAAATGGTTAAAATTTTGCAGTAAATAAACAGAAATTCAAAATAACTAAATAGAAATGATTATTTAAATTTAAAAATTTTTATTCATTGATTTATTATACGTATTTTAGAAATTAAATAATTATACAGTAAATTTTTAGCTATTGATGGTTATTCTTCTCATTACTATAAATTTTGTATTGGAATTAAGAGGTATACAATAAGCGATGAAGAATATTTCAGGGCTGACCTGATCTTCTATACAGATCATTTCTGATCTCGAAGAAAAGAAGTGGTGGTACAATTGCAGAATATTTGGTGCTTTCATCTTCACTGGATTCATCATTACTTTCATCCTTTTTATGTGATGATTTGGGCTTATGAGCTCGAGTTTTTACTCCCGTCTTCTTCTTTGGATACGGAAAGCCACGCATTAACTCTTGAAGATTAGCGTATCCCGTCGAAATCAGAAATCGAGCATCTCGTCTCATATTGTTGAATCCTGGACCATCTATACGTGCGAATGAATTATAATTCTTTATCCAAGTAGGCGTTGGTCGAAATTCATTCTCTGACCATCGACGTTTCTGAATAAATTTATTGTAAACTCTACATGTTATTATTTGTTAATGACTAAAACTTAATTTAAATAACAATTACTTCTGATCTTGAAAAAGTAGATAGATGGTGTGACATTATTTAATACAATTGTTATCACTATGAAATTTATCTTAATACTAATTGATTACTTGAATATTTTAATGTAGATGGAAATAATAGCATTATCTATCAATGCTAAAGTATTGAAGTAAATGTCTAGAAATTAAAAATAATTAAGCAGAACTGAAATAATTAATTTAAAAATGGAAAATTAATTACTAATTACTTTTTGTTCTTCTAAATAAATTCTGAATAAAGAATTATGCACAGTTTGTTTGAAAGAACAAAAACTTGTATTTTGAATAATTAATCATTTTATGCTACAAAATGCAAAAAGCGTCATCTTAATTTAATTAATTAATGAAAAAAAATTGATTCAGAATATGACCACTTAATGGCACTAGAAATCAAAATAATGCTATGATTATCATTCGTAATTATAGTTATTAGCAAATAATTACAACAATTTCCATAATTAGCACAATAATTTATTACGTGATGACTAGCAATAGAAAAAACGTTTACGTCTAATTTCAATGAAGCGATAAGTAACTAACGCGAAATATTAATGCCATGATATCTGGTTGCACGTTGCTTTCGAGCTCATAGTGGAAAAACTTAAGAGTTTTTATGACTTGAGTTTCAGCTTCTTTCACATCATGCTCATATTTTCTCTCTTCCTTTTGCATGGTTTCAGAATCCATCGCCTCAGTTCGAGCCCATAATTTTGCAAAACGCTTGATTCTAACCTTTTGTTCATTTTCTATTTCTTTTTGTTTGCTGCCCATTTTCTTCAGATTCTATTACAGTATCAGACTTTATTGCTCAGAAATGTGGTACCTCACTGAAATTACATGTAAATAATACATATTTTACAACAAATATCTTAATTCAAAAAAAAATGAAGCATACATTTTGTACACCAAATACATAATTTAGGATTCATTTATTATTCAAAAACTTTGCTAACTTTTTTGCTTGTAGCGAAAAAGCGTAGAATTCATTGAAGAACTTGTTAGAAAAGATATTTCTTTAATACACAAATGCTTATTTTTTCTATATTCTAAAAGTAAAGAATTTAGATAAGAAAAATTAAGTGTACCATATACTTACTATCAGATATATTGTATACTACCGTTAGTAATAAAATAAAGCTAATATAATAATATGAATATGTTCGCTGTAGCGCCATTATCTCATATTTTTGACCTTTTCTGGTCAATTTTTGGGATTCAAAATGTTTGGTACAGAAATAACATTAAAAAAAGAGTATGATTGAAAGTTAATCGCTTTTATAATAATTCTTCGCATATAACAAAAAGTAATGACAAGTGTACGTGTTTTTAAAGTAATTTTTTACTTTTAAAAATAATTCTTTAATTTTTTAGTATATTCTAAGTAGTATTGTATGTATGTAACTCAATTTGTTTGTTATTACTTACACAATTTTATTATTACTTTTATTTATTGCATTATTTTTGTTAAATTAAATCTCATCAATTTTCCAAAATCAGAATACAAGAAAATCAGTTCACTTTGATACAAAATAGAATCACTGCTTCTGAGATGCTTCCAGAAGAAATACTTCATCACAAATTAAGTTTCAACATTTTGATCAGTTAAAGATTCTTCTCCTCAGATTCAATTTACAATAAAAATAATCCTGCATGATGTACAAGTACAAAATCCGCACATTAGACATGCTAGATAAATCATAAGTGGCAAAAAGCAGCAGATAAATACAAACGATATCATAAAAATAGCTACCACTGACCTGAAATTTACATTTTAAAAGTGTGGTAAGCCTGAAATTTGCAGTTTATAAGTATGATAAGGTGTTTTGAAGGAAAGTAGACTGTTTTATTGCATGTAATAATTTTAAATTAAAATTTGAATTTTGTTCTTTTTAAAGTTCTCTTTTTCGCTGAAGCAAATACAAAAAAGAAGCAATAACCGGAATCTTACAATGTCCATGATTGAAATTCAAGAACTTCACCTTCTAATTCGTGTTTTTCATTTCCATTAACACTGGATTTGTCATGCTTGAATTTTAAGTAATATACAGTAGGATAGCATTTTTATTTCAATACTTTATTTCCAAGTATTTAAGTTTTAATACTTTTTAATTTCAAAGTTTTGTGTACTGTTTATGTTATTGTATTTTTCTTGCCTTACTAGTCAATACTTATTGCTAACAACTTTTAAAGCCTACTTGTTAATTTTTTAATTAGCATTTTTTGCCTTCAATTAATATTAATTAGAAGGATTTTAGAGAAAATATGCATACTATAAACTTATTACTTGTGTTTAACACTTTCAAATATTGTTAAAATTGAACTCAAAATTACATTTGATTTCATTTTCTTCAAATTTAAATTTAAATCATTAATGGCTTTGAGTTTTAATTTGTTTTATTATTTTTTATTTCATAAATCTGTTTGTTATTTGAAATTATTGTTTGAAAATTTTCACTCTTTATATTTTATAAGTCACTTCAAATTTAAATTTTGATTCCGACGGAATGGTTGTAATTGATTTAGCTTCGAAGTTTCGTGTATTTCTTATCCATAAATTCTTTGTATCCTAAAATACTTAATTATGAAGACAGATAAACTATGAATGAATGCATTCAAAATTAATATTGCAAGAATTTTTAATGAACCTGAACTCTAGTAAGTATTAATGTTAGCAAATCAGTTGTACCAACAATACTGGAATCAGTAGTTTGATTTGAGGAAGTAACCATAGAACATAATATAGTAAGTAGTAATGTCAATATTATAGTGATTGATAATGATACAGAGTCAGTAATTACTGTAATTATAAGCTGATGAGAAATTATGATCTTATACTGCTTAGAATTATTTAATAGTGATAAAAAAAATTTTCATTCCGTATAAGTTTAAGGTCAAAGGTAGTTTTTTTTTAGCTTTATATAAAGTTTGTTAAAAATTAAGGTTCATTTTATCAGCAGTTTTTTTCAAAAGCAAATTTTCACAGCATTATAACCCAAAAGTTTGTTGATAATTTTTTGAAAAATTAAACTCAAAAATAACATACCATTCGGCATTAATGTTAGTGAAAATAATAAATTTGCTAGCAAACTTAACAATTTTTGGATAATTTTTAAAGTTTACATTGCCTTTCAAATTTTTGTTTATTAAAACTTAACAACAAAATGTAAATTTTATTTGTATTTGCAAAAAAAATGCAAATTTTCTTTTTTTACTGCAACGTAAATATTGATGGCTATTTATTATTCAACTTCAATTTGGTAGATTCTGAATTACATATCAACCTTTTGTATATTATCTATTTAATGTGAAATTAAGACACAGTAATTGTTGAATGCATAATATTGACCTTCTTCTGCTTCAGTAAGGGACAACATAATTGCCACCTTTTTCTTGGTACGCTCAAGAACCTCCTAACCACCTGATGATTTGTGGGACTTTCAGTACCACCCCTAGCTACCTGATTTGTGGGATATTCAGTATTACTCCTTGCCACCTAAGCTGTAGAATCTTGAGCTTTTTCTTCCATCTTTGCACATGATAACGAGTTTTATTCTCTAGAAAACATCTCAAGTAATAACACTGGAAAATCATAACAGCATACTACACACTTTTAATTGTACACTTCAAGAAATCTTGTATTACTTATTATCTTAGCAGTTATTTACAAAGTCAATACAAATGAATTAAAAAACAGTTTGTTTTATATTTTAACAATTTTTTTAATCACTTTGATCAACTTATATTTCTATCAGTCAATAAAAAATGATATGTGTTTTGCTTTTACCAGCATGAAGTTGCGCAGTTGTCATACTTCTTCTACTAGCTAATCTTCGCCTTACAATGTACCATTCCATGAAAATTGCCAAAAGCAATAGCAAAGCACACGTGATAAATATTTGAATCGCCCACGTTGGTACCACATGCAACCGTACGTCACCATTAAGAAGATAAAAGTCTCGTAAAGCATAGCTTAATTGTTCAATCAAATCAGCTATTACAACATGTAAAGGCCAACCTATAATGATTATTAAATAATTTAAATATGTCTTAATATTATATTTATTTTTTACTTTCTCAATTTTTTGTCAGTTATACAGACAAATCTTTAAACTTTGATTATTCATATTTCTTTTGCCGTATTAAATTAAATCTTTTACTTTTTATTTTTAATCTTTTTATAACTTAAACATTTGCAAACAAAATAATATACAGCATGATAATACCCTGGAGAATATTGTTTACACATTCAGACTGAATATTTATCACAGATGAAAGCAATCTCAAATCACCTGAAATCTTATTATTACTAATTTTGATCAAAGTTTTAAATATGGTTGGAAAAGGATAAGTTTTATTTTGCTGCGTGATCTTACATACTTGATAAACTTCTCATAGCTGAGTAATATCAGGAAACTCCAAGCGAATTAAGCAAAAATGAATATCTCATAATGTTTATTTTAACTTTCTTCATTTTAAAAAGTCATTTTATATTGCTCTTTATATCTATAAAATTATATGTGATATAAATTGATTTTACAATATATAATTTAAATTTTCCAAAACTAATATGTCACTTTAAACTGAGTATATATTGAATTATAATTATTCACTAAGCATAAGAATCAGCATAAATCTTAGAAGGTCAACTTGAGAAGGCCAACTTAGAAGGACAATTTGAGAAAGCCAACGTAGAGGGCCAACATTTTTTATAACAGTTTTTTCAATCAAAAAAGGCACAAATATTCAATATTATACTGCATAAATTTTTGCTGCCTCAATATAAATATATATTTAATTGTATTTTTATTAAAATGTTGCAAAATTACTAAATGAGTTAATATATCTTTTATAATATTATCATATTATTTTTTAATTTTAATATCTTTATAAATTTACAAACTAGCATGAATTTTAACGTAAGGTAGCTTGCGAACGTCGTTAACCAAACCATCAAGAATAATGATAGCGAGTATATTAAGCTGATTACAGTCTTCTGATTTGAAAAACCAACGATCGTACAAAACCGAAGTATAAATCTGAATTGTTTTATTATAAATCGGTTGATCTTATCTTATGATATGATTTTTAATATCTTGATTACAATAATTAATATTTATTGCTCGCAGTAAACATCATTCATTTATACGATATCCATAAATAATTAAAATTATTTTTTAAACAAAAACAAATGTTGTTTATTCTCTCGATCAACTTTTTATTTTTTAAAGTCTAAGTAATTGTAATATGAATATTTGATATTCATGACAATTTACTTTAATGAAACTTTGAGCATTGCTCACAAACTGCTGAACTTTTTCAACGTCCATATGAATGCAATGATCTTCAAATAAACAACCGTATTCAAATTTATTATTATAAACGAATGATGAACTAATTGGAGGTGCCAATTGACGTACTGAAACTTTTTTAAAATTTACTTAAAAAATTACGTGAAGATTTACTTAATTACGTGAAGATTTACATAATTTATTTAAAAAAATCAGTGATATTTTTTCGGTTCGGTATCATTTCATTTGATTTAACAGATTAAAAAGTATACTAATTTGAAAAAAAATAGTAAATATTATTTCTTAATAGATAATTATTTAATCCATGTATACTGTTAGTTCTAGATTATTTTTATTCAAAGTACATGAACTTGTTTTTTACTTATCTTTAGCTTTAGCTTTGTTAGAGAAATGGAGCTTCAAAAAGTAATATATTTGTTACCTTGTTGACTTAGCAACTTGCTATAGCACTTTATACATTTAAATACGTTATTAATTATCACACTTATTTATTTACTAATTTATTTATTATTATCTTTTAGAAAGCTCAAAAATGAAATTCAAAATACTCAAATCTGAACTCACCGACAAGTATACCTAATGAAAATGAATTATTTTTGACAAATATTGGTTTTAGCTTTTCAAACGTTTCCAGAATAGTAGTGGAGCCAGAACTACTGATTTGTTGATGCAAATCACAGATAAACGGAAGTCGAAGCATCAGATTGCAATATGAACGAAACTAAAAAAATTTTTGAAGTAATTACCTTCAATATTGCTTAAAATTCAGCTTCCAGATAAATGAATATTACTCACTACTTGTCATAATTGTGGTCAATCTTTAATTAAAAGTTTTACTTAAAATTAATATAAAATATTTCTGGCCATAGTATGAGTATGACACAAAAATATCACAATATACACATTTTATAGTCTCAATTATGGTAATTTGTTTCAATTTACAAAATTCACAAACCTGAACTGGTTGATGGATAGGTGAAGGAAATGTACACGGTGAAAAGAATGGTGGATACGATGTTTGTACCGCTTTAACCATAACTTTGCTTAATATGCAAAAAACTGATGCGAGAATGTATTGCATAATTTATTTTTTCAGATCTCTCATTAATTCTCTTGATTCAAATTCATCTCATACTTTTGTGCACAAAAATAATAAATTGTATTAAAAAATCGAGATCATTATTAACTTTTATTTGAAAACTTATTAATTGAATTGCTTGTCCTTTAGCTTGTTAAAGATCTAAAATTTTGGCAATATCAGAAAAATGTTTGATACTATTATCAGTGATTATTATTCAAAACTGTTATCAGTGATTGTTATCCAAAACTGTTATCAGTGATTATTATTCAAAACTGTTATCAGTGAATGTTATCCAAAACTGTTATCAGTGATTGTTATCCCAAAACTGTTATCAGTGATTGTTATCCAAAATTGTTATCAGTGATTGTTATCCAAAACTGCTTTGTACAAATTACTGCTTGCCTGGATAGAAACTGAAAATAATTCAATTTTTTTCTTTCTTTTTATCTAGCTCAAAATCAGAACTGTCTTGTGTGGTTATTGAAACTTTTTGGTCTGATCAAATTTTTATTATTTTTTCTTTAGCAGTGAACAAAATTCAAGTATCGCACGCACTTTCGGATTAAAGTAATCATTAGTAGTGCCTCAATTCAGCTTTCTGAATTATGAGATAATGCATTCTGAAATAAAACTGTGTACAATTGTACCTGTGACTAACTCTCCGGTACAGTTTTGACCATTTCAGATTATTTCTCCTATTAATAGTTATAGCTATGATGGAAGACACATGAAAAAGGGACAAAATTCATCGTGTTAATAGCTAAGATGAGACTTAAGAAGGATTAAGATGGATTAAATGAAATTTATTACTGAGAATTTCAATAAAATTACTCCTGGAAATCAATGCATAAATTAATTCTTACTAACATTCTCAGAAAAGTCAACTTA